GGGGGTATTGGCACATCAAAATTCGGAGCTTATCGGATAAATCCGAATGGACCAAAATTTTACCAGCGGGTGTTTTTCGGAGCTTTCGGGATTTATCTGAAAACACGGAGCCCTACCTATAACCCAACAGTGGTGTCCCGATGACTGGGGGTCTGTTGCCATCCAAGCCCATTGATCTAATTAAGTTTGGGAGTTTAAAACAGAAAAGAAAGCGCGAACAAAGTTAGGGCAATGCATACTCCCAACTCGGGCGAAGCCTCTCATCCGGGACTTTCACTCTTTTTAACCCACCACCAAGTGCGAAGACGCCGGTACCCCTTTATTTTCTTCTGTCTCGCTCTCAAAATGGCGCTACCCACGACAAAACGGTCTGTAGACTTTTTTCGCAAAGGCGCCACCATCTTGAATTGTTGTCACTTCCAGGATGGGCGAAAACATTGTTTTGCCGTCGCCACGCCGATAGAAGGCATTTAGGACATAAACGTAACCGTCACACATTCTCCTTTTACCTCCCCTCTACTTTTTGACTATTTGCAGGTTGAAACGTTTTAATATTTTTTTTTGCCTCGCCCATACCGGATATGCCTACTTGGCGGTCGGGGGCGAGAGTAAGCGGAAAAGGTCTATACATGCATTGAACCTGACGTCATCTTCTCCGCTCTCCGGTAACCACGAGAGAAGAGGTGAAGGAGGAGTTCCTCTCTCACAGGGACTTTCTTTTGTGTCTCCGAGATGTCGATATTGCCCCTGTCAAAGATTATGAGTTAATCCGCCACTCAATATTTGTACAAAGGCAGCTTTACGGTTAGTTGCGGTGGCTCGCTCGCTGGCGCGCTTCGGTCGCTTTTGTGCCCGGAACGGCTACATCCTTTGCTTGTCCCGAGACAATCTACGTCAAGATTGCGCCAGATGTCACGCGCTCTCCACTGGCTGCTCTCGGAGCGCTTGCCAGGGTGGGCTCTTTAAAACTAAAAATACAGCCATGAGACTCAAATACAAACGTGCGATGGTCACTTAAAGATGTTATGAAGGCTTATTCAGCCTGTTTCTGAGCACAACCGGTATATTTTAAGTTTCGTCGGAGTATCCCTTCAAGACGTCTACAGAAAAATATGACTGTTTTAAGTCAAAAACTTGGAGCCACGCAAATGTTCCCGTAGGAATGTATATTTTATACAGAACTACCTCCACAAAATATCGAGACACACAGTGATGAGCCACAGAAAAACGTATCACAGTGAAAATCAAGTACACGTAGTCAATGCGTACATGGCTAGACAAGCTAACTTACAATCATGTAAGCGATGTTAACGCATGATATCACCGAATTCTTGCATTACAACCCAATCACATGGCAAAATTATTGTAACGTCGATCGAATGACATTATGGGGTCGTCAGATCAGCTCGCGACGCTCGTATTATAGCCATTAAGGATCGCGAAATGATTTAATCTCATATTATCATTTAATGAAAATATTTAGCTTTCCGCAGGGCAGGGGTACTCAACGAATTATTTACAGTAAACCAATCCACTTCTCTTTATGGGCTCGAGCAGCCTTAGAGCAAAGTATAATTTATTTTTCTTTAATAATACTATTACAGTACTACCGTAATACAGATAGGATTGTAGTACAAACGTGGTAAAGTCATTACAATAGCATTAGTAAAAACAAACACATAAGTACAAACAACGCACATTAAATAATCGCACAGAAACTTGTCGTTCCCCTTTCAGTGAAAACTTGATAGTCCTACATGACCCTCAAAGCCTGTAAATAAGTTGTTTCTCATCTGTCGATCGGATCCATACGTTCAGCAATATCCGTCACGAAAATATTTGAACACGAGCTGGAAGAAGTCTTTCTGTCTGTCGAGGAAGAAAGATCTATCAATAATCGACCAGTGTCATCGTTGACTATTTGCCACACATGTCATTCACACCGTAGCAGGACTTGCTCCGCAAATCCACGTAAATGCCGTGCTATCAAGAGAACACAAAAGAACTACGCACGAGAGCAGCAGCAGAAGCGTGGAACGAAAGTAACGAAAGTGCTAACGCCGTCGACACATCTCCTGCTCGTGTGCGCTCTCTGCGGCGGTGTATAATTTTTTTTTTCGGTTCTCTTCCTTTTCAGACAGTCTGCAACTCACACATAATGTAAGTTTATAAGAATCGGAGCCCATATGAGGGAAGAAAATGTCGACGCCGGAACCGGTTCATTCGAAAATGTGTGGGGAGCTGCGGTACTGCACTTTAAAAAAGAAAGCTGTCTAGGTAACTCTTTTTGAAGTGCAACTGGCATGTCCCAGAATCCACCCCTTTTGCTAGAGTGCGCGTTGCACTTTAAAACGAAGTAACCTTTCGGATTGAGGGTTACCTTTGTCTAGAGTAGTAACTCCTCTTCGAGAGGAAGAGTATCGCTAACACTTTCAAACGAATAGCCTATACTAGTACTGATGGGGTGGTATGGACTGTGCAAGTGAGTCATAGGAACACTAGGTTAGTGTAACAAGCGACCCTTGCGAAGTTTTAAAGTGACACTCTCATATCAACAGTTAATTTCACTCTTGAGGAGTGTTATTTTCAACTCTGTTATGAGGGGTGCGTGAACTGCTAAATGTAGGGTAATATATATGTAGGCTCCGTTCAGTTAAGATCGTGCACGCGAATCCTGACATAAGTTTGGTTTTTGCAAATATTTTTATATGTTACTCCTCAGCATGTGTAGGGAACGTAACCAAAATATTTCGCGAAGAACATAATATTTAAAAAAATAAACAATTTTGAGTGCGTCAGAATGGCATGTTTGATTTGTTTAAGTTTTCGTTTTTGTCATGTTTGGTGACACCTACTACGCAAACTACAAATATCAGAGATCTCAAATATTTTTAACTTATAATTTATTTATTTATTTACACAGTACCTACATCGCCACAGGGGCATTATTGTAGGGGGTACATGGTACAGGAAAGTAAAATGATTATACGTCACATTGTATCAAACGTGTTAATAAAAAGTAAGACTATTGATTGAAAGAAGTGCAAAAAGATTGTTACAAAAACTGTTACACAAAATCAGAAACATAACAGTACAAAACAATACACAGCACACAACTATTAAAGGATGTCTAATAATGAGGTGGAAAACATAGCATCCGAAGTCTCAGCGACCACGTGCTGCGGAAGTCTGTTCCAATCACTAAATGATTTTGGGAAATACGAGTTCTTAAACATTTCAGTTTTACACCTAATATTCTTTATTTTTAGTGGGTGGTCCACCCTTGAAGACAGGTGTGATGAGGTGGACTATAGAAGCGAGAAGAGAGAAAGACGAAGTGGGGCCGGGCAGTGTGGTGCGCGTGAAAACGGGGGCTTCTGAAGGCAGACCAGCAACTGCGACGCTAACAAAGACATCGGTGGGCTCCCGCGGTCCCGACGGCAGCAACGACTGGTTCTACGCGGGCGGGCAGCTAGAGGCCCGTGAGTGCTAGCCCTGGCCAAGGGGACCGCCGCCTACGCCGGAAAGCGAACATTCCCCAAGCCGACCCAGAAGGCAGCACCCGTGGTCGCCGCCGACGACGACGTGAAGGTGCGGTGCCTGACTCGAGTGAGACTACGTCATCTATTTTCGTTTTTTCTTCTGTACATAATACACCTCTCTTTCTTTCACTCGCCGTCCTCGGGTTCTTTGTCCTTTATTCACCATCTTTCCATCACAATATCTGGCATCCGCGACAGGACTTTCTATTGGTTAACAACCCCTAGAGAGCAGAACCCCGGGACGGCTGTGTGGGAGAGATAAGAGCATGGATGCAGAAAAATTGCTTGGCGTTGGTGGGCGAAGAACTCCGTACCTGAGTTGAGCAAGAGCGTGGTAGGCAACGCGAAGAACGGGTCAGATTGCGGGAAGATGCGCGCGAAGCAGCTAAGGAGACACAGGACACCGCTGACCGAGAGCTCCGCAGGCTCCAACAGGAACAAGAAGTGTTACAGCTGCGCCTGCGCTTACAAGAGAATAGCGGCTCAGCTCATGATGAGGTCCACCACACCAATGGCAGGGGAGAGAACTCGGGAGCACAAACTTGTCACCGGAGTCCCCACAAACTAATTCCACCATTTAATGAAAAGAGAGACGACCTGGACGCGTATATCCAAAGGTTTGAGCGGGTTGCAACTAGCCAGGATTGGCCTCGAGAAAAATGGGCAGTGTCCTTAAGCTTGTGCCTCACCGGTGAGGCATTGACAGTTGTGGGTCGGATGACACCAGAGCAGTCATTGGATTATTCTAAAGTCAAACTTTCCCTGCTACAGCGGTTTCGTTACACCACCGAAGGGTACAGAGAGAAATTCAGGGAAAGCAAGCCAGAGGAGGCAGAGACGGGGAAACAATTTGCAGCCCGACTTTTTGGGTACTTTGATCGCTGGATTGAGACTGGAGAAATTTCGAAGACGTTCGAGGCCATGAAAGATCTGATAGTTGCGGAACAGTTCTTAAAATATTGTCACCCAATGCTATCAGTCTTCTTAAAAGAGAGGAACTGCAAGACGCTCGAAAACATGGTAGTAACCGCGGACCACTTCTTAGACGCGCAGGGCCAAACTAACTGGGCAAAAAGGAACAACGACAGCCTGTACAGTAACAAGGGTGGAGATCGAAGTAAGGAGGATACCCGAATGCCACCCACCGCTAGGGGGAGGAATCAATGTTTTCTCTGCAACAAGCCAGGTCACAAGGCAGCAGACTGCTGGGAGAGCACCAAGGCTTAGCGCTTACCCGTGTGTTGGAGATGTGGGAAAACGGCACACAAGGCAGCAGCATGTAACTGGAAACCGCAAGACAAGCAGGATAGACCTCCTCAAGCTTCCTGTATGCTTTCCGTTCGACCAACACCTGACGAGACCGACCCAGATGACACATATGTCCTACTGAAAAACGGGGACAAAATTCCAGTGGTGAATGCGGCACTTGGAAAGGCTCCACGATTTCTAGTAGAAAACATGCCAGTGGTTCGGGGAGAAGTGGGAGATCGAGCTGCCACAGTATTGCGAGACAGTGGGTGTAACACGATTGTAGTGAACAGAGACCTGGTTACGGATGATCAGCTAACTGGGGTTTCCAGTCCGGTGTTTTTGCTGGATAGGACGGTCAAATATCTGCCAGAGGCAGAAATTGATGTAAGAACGCCTTATTTTACACGCAAGGTATTGGCGAAGTGTATGGAGAACCCTCTGTATGATTTGGTACTCGGGAACATTGAAGGGGCGAGAGGGATTGATGATCCAGATGAGGAATGGGAGGGAGAAGGATCAGGGAGATCTAAAAGACGTGAGGAGAGTAACATGCTGATAAGCACGTCCGTGCGGCACGAGACTGCCGGCAGGATGACCCAAGACGAGGGTGAAAGGGTGCCAGACGACGGTGTTCTGGATAAAGAAAGGAAATACGCAGGGGCGCTCAGAAAGGGGCGCTCTGACAGCCAAAGGACGATTTCCGAGTTACCAGTCATGACATTGGATCCGATTGACATTGACCACGCTAAGCTGAAGGAGGCACAACGTAGTGATGAAACACTGAAGAGGTGTTTCGCTGTCGTTGGCACAGCGTTTGTGTCGGGAAAATCGCAGGAATCCGAGTTCTTTCTACACAACTATATTCTCTACAGAAGGTACAAGGACTCGTCGCAAAAACAGTGGAAACAGCTGGTGGTCCCCAAAGAATTTCGGCAGATTGTGTTGAAGCTCGCACACGAGGGGATCATGGCTGGCCACCAAGGAACAGGAAGAACCACCGATCGTATCCGTGAAGAATTCTATTGGCCGGGAATAACAGCGGACGCGAAACGATTCGTGAAATCGTGCGACATTTGTCAGAGGACTATCCCGAAACGCTTGGTTATCAGGGCACCCCTAGAAAATATGCCTATCACTAGTACACCATTCCATAGAGTTGGCATAGATATTATCGGACCTATCAATCCGGGTTCAGAGTCCGGCAGCAGGTATGTTCTGACGGTGGTGGACTTCGCAACCAGATACCCTGATGCAATCCCATTGAAGAGCATTGACACCGCGGAAGTCGTAGAGGGTCTGTTACAGATATTTGCCCGAGTACGCTTACCACGAGAAATTGTCAGCGACCGAGGGTCATGCTTCACTTCAGCCTTAATGAAGGAGGTCAGCCGCTTGCTCCCGCTCAGACATCTGACCACGACGCCTTACCATCCAATGTGCAATGGATTGGTCGAAAGGTTCAATGGGACAATTAAACAAATGATTAAAAGGATGTGCCAAGAAAAACCGAGGTGTTGGGACCGGTACCTTAATCCGTTGCTCTTCGCGTACCGGGAGGTGCCGCAAAGCAGCCTAGGATTTTCACCCTTCGAACTTTTTTATGGCCGACATGTTCGCGGTCCGATGACAGTGTTGAAGGAACTCTGGACAAATGAAAGCATAGACACCGAAACGAAAACAACCTATGGTTATATGGTGGATCTTCGACGGAGACTAGAAGAGACTTGTAAGACCGCCCATGAGGAATGTAGGAAAGCTCGAATGACCCAAAAGAGGTACTACGACAAGAAAAGTGGAGTTCGACAACTGAAAGAGGGAGACAGAGTCCTCATCTTGTTGCCAACGGACAAAAACAAGTTGATTCTGCAATGGAAAGGACCATTTTCAGTATTAAAAAGGAGGAATAACGTGGACTACCTAATAGACGTTGGAAGAAAGTCTACTGTATTTCACATCAATATGCTCAAAAAGTACGAAGTGAGGGAAGTTCTATGTGCTCCCCGTCAAGCCCTGGTTGGCATTACAATCGAAGAGGAGTCAGAGGAGCAAGACATTCCTAGTGTCTGTCTTAGCCAACTGGAAGGCTACAACGATGTACAGATGTCGGAGGAGCTAACTGAACGACAAGCAGGAGAGGTCTACCAACTGCTAGAAGAACTTCGAGACGTATTTTCGGACTGTCCCGGTCGAACCAGTCTCGTACAGTGCAAACTGAGATTGACAACGGACACACCAATTCAAGTACGCCCGTATCCTGTCCCTCTAGCACTGCAAGACGCTGTGGAAATGGAGGTAGACGAGATGCTACAACAAGGCATTATTAAGAAATGCGACTCAGCCTACAGTTCACCGGTAGTTGTCGTCAAAAAGAAAGACAAGACCACAAGGCTCTGCATCGACTTTCGCCAACTGAACAAGGTTCTAGTACCTGATTGCGAACCTATCCCCCGCGTCGACGTGATGTTCGCTAGAGTGAGCACAAAACGTTACTACTCCAAATTTGACTTTGCGAAGGGCTACTGGCAGGTACCAATGGCTCCAGGGTCAGAGGACGCAACGGCTTTCTCGACAACAACGGGATTATATCGATTCTGGTTTATGCCCTTCGGCATCAAAACAGCCCCGGCAGTATTTACACGGCTGATGAGGAAGATTCTTGATGGCGTACCGGACGCTCATCACTAATTTGACGGTGTTTTAGTTGCGTCTGACTGCTGGGAAGATCACTTAAAAGCAGTGCGTCAGTTTTTGACCAGGGTGAGAGAAGGAGGACTAACGATCAAACCCAAAACGACAGAGATTAGCTTCTCCAAAATTACATTCCTGGGCCATAAGATTGGGCAAGGATCCTTCGAGCCTCTAACGGAGACCCTGGAGAAAATCCAGGACTGTAAACAACCTCGAACCAAAAAAGAAGTAAGATCATTCCTGGGATTAACAGGCTACTACAGGGAGTTTATCCCAAACTACGCGGAGACCGCACTTCCTTTGACGGAGCTGACGAAACAAAGAGCGCCTGACAAAGTTATCTGGGAGAAGAAACACGCAAAGGCATTCGATGAACTGAAAAGACTGCTTTCCAGAAAGCCTATCTTGAAATCACCAGATGTGACAAAGATATTCGTACTGGGGACAGACGCCTCAGAAAGGTCCTTGGGAGCCGTGCTCATGCAAGAGCACGACAACGTTCTTCATCCCAACGCTTATGCTAGTCGTAAACTACTACCCCAAGAGGTCGCCTATTCCACCATAGAGAGAGAATGTCTAGCTCTCATATGGGCAGTAAAAAAGTTCCATGTATACTTGTTCGGAAGACACTTCACCATACAAAGCGATCATCAACCGTTGCAGTACCTTAATTCAGCCGGAAAATTAAACAACCGGGTACTGAGGTGGAGTTTACTAGTCGCCGAATACGACTTCCACGTCGCGTACAACAAGGGAAGCGAAAACTTTGGAGCAGACTTTTTAAGTCGCTTGTAATCTGCACTGGCACATCACTGTCATCGTGAAGGCCTGTCCATCCCTTTGTGTATTGCAACTTTCTATGACAAGATGAAAACATGGCTTACACATGCAAGTTTGGTAAACACTGGCAAGCAATATGATGGCTTGCGAAACTGGGACGTGAGAACGCGAACAGCCAGCTGAGTGAGTGTCAACACCAGCCAAATTACTTAGTTTAACTTAGAAAAGTAGTGCGTTGTTTCTTACTCTTATGTTTTTGGTTTGATTGTTTGTTTGTCCCTTTTTGAAACAATTGGAACAATTGTCTTAAAGGGGGGGTCGTGTGATGAGGTGGACTATAGAAGCGAGAAGAGAGAAAGACGAAGTGGGGCCGGGCAGTATGGTGCGCGTGAAAAAGGGGGCTTCTGAAGGCAGATCGGCAACTGCGACGCTAAAAAAGACATCGGTGGGCTCCCGCGGTCCCGACGGCAGCAACGACTGGTTTTGGACGGGCGGCTAGAGGCCCGTGAGAGCTAGCCCTGGCCAAGGGGACCGCCGCCTACGCCGGAAAGCGAACATTTCCCAAGCCGACCCACAAGGCAGCACCCGTGGCCCCCGCCGACGACGACGTGAAGGTACGGTGCCTGAGTCGAGTGAGACTACGTCATATATTTTCGTTTTTTCTTCTGTACATAATACATCTCTCTTTCTTTCACTCGCCGTCCTCGGGTTCTTTGTCCTTTATTCACCATCTTTCCATCACAACAGGTAATCAGGATTATGTAAGTAGTGGTCCTTCACAATACCTGTTTGTCCTAAGTAAATACTTCTGAAAAATTTCATTCTAAGATATTTTCTCCGCGAAACCAGAGATTTCCACTCGAGTTGTTTTTTTTTTTTTTTAAATCTGTTATACTTGAGCAAAATTCATAATTATTTGCAACAAGGGTGTGCAACTTTGTTTTGCACACGCTCTAGTTTCGATATTAAATTTACGTAATACGGGTCCCACGCTCGACAAGCATACTCTAAGATTGGCCTAACATTAGTTACGTATAGCAGCTCCTTAATATTTGTTGGGGCCATTTTGAAATTCCGTTTGATAAAATTTAAAACGCGGTTTGCCTTTGCTGTGATTGCGACGACATGCTTAGTCCAGGAAAGATCTACGCTAAGATAAACCCCTAGATATTTGACATCAGCTACCTCCTGAAGAGGAACACCGTTCAACTGATATTTTGATAGATAAGGCTGCTTTTTTTTGTGAATCTAATATAATTGCATTTAATGATATTAAGAAACATTTGCCATTTGTCACACCAGGTCACCACCTTTTCAAGGTCTGACTGAAGTAGAAGAGAATCATCCACACATTTAATCTCTCTATAGATTACACAATCATCTGCATATAATCGGACACTGCATGTTAGGTTTTGTGCTATGTCATTGATATATATCAAAAAGAGAAGTGGGCCAAGTACAGACCCCTGTGGGACACCCGAGGTTACATCCGCATACGGAGAATTTTGACCACTAACAACTACGCATTGTTTACGATTTAACAAATAATCATTTATCCGACCAAAAAGATAGTCAGGAAGGGCCAAGAACGACAACTTGTGCATAAGAAGTGAATGTGGTACTTTGTCGAATGCTTTTTGAAAATCTAAAAGCAGGCAGTCAACCTGAACCTTTTTATCTAGTGAAAGTGAGAGGTCATGTAAAAACTCAGTAAGCTGCGTAGTGCACGACAAACCAGCCCGAAAACCGTGCTGAGACTTGGAAAAAAAGGTATTGTACTCAAGGTGATTAACCATATTTGAATATATGATATGTTCAAGTAACTTGGAACAAACACAGGTTAAGGAGACGGGCCTGTAATTAGAAACTAGGCTTTTGTGGCCTGACTTATGGATGGGCACAACATTTGCCGTTTTCCACTCCAAAGGTAGCCTGCTAGTAAAGAGCGATTTGTTGAAAAGAATAACTAGAAAAGGTGAGATTGCTGCAGCACAAACTTTCAGAACGTGGTTAGGAATGCCATCAGGCCCCATGGCTGAATGAGATTTCAGATTACGCAGTAATTTCAGTACGCCATAATCTTCTACCACAAACTCGGGCATTCTATCAAAAGTTGTCTCGGAAGATTCTCGTACAACTAGCTCGGTTGTCGAAAAGACAGATTGAAAGAAGTTGTTGAAGCAAACAGCCTTGAGAAAGTTATCGGAGGTCAGTTCATCATTGTTTAGAATCGCTGGAATGCCTACAGATTCACTCTTGCCCGATTTTCTAACCGTTTTCCATAGTTCCTTTGGGTTGTTAAGTAATTTTGGTCCAAGTGCCAAATAGTAGTGTTCCTTCGCTTCCTTAACTTTAGTCTTAAAGATATTATCCAGCAAACGAAGTTCAATTTTTGTGGCTGGGTCCCTCGTTTTCTTATATTTTAGAAAAAATCTTCGCTTTTTATTTAGAAGACGTCGCAACTCCTTTGTCATAATAGAACATAAAAACTATTATTGAGCGATATATGTACAGCATTGTGTAAGTCATATTTCTCGTCAGAAATGCTGCAACTTGACTAACTTTGACGTTTTGTCACTAGAAGTCTTCGCTTGTTTCACTTGTATCTGCAAAAACCGAATACCTACAATATTAAAGTTCCCGGAAAATTAGATTATTTAAACGTTCTTTCGAGTGACTTATAAATCATTGCTTTATCTCAGTGATTCAATTGACATGACTGAAATTGAAATGTAATGAACCCGTTCGTTCATCGATATCTCCCTCTCCTGTCAGGTGAAAAAAAGGGGTAATAAGAGATCTCTTATGAGAAAAAGGAAGGAGAGAGAAAGTCACAAGAAAGAGGAAAAATAGTGGGATGGTAATAAACCGTTTTCGCTCAAACGAGAGGCTGTCATAAATGACGAACGGCAGGTTTTACCGTTGCCTGGCTATGAACTGCACTTTGACCTTGTCGAAAATAGTGACGATAACTTGCTCACTGCAAACCATATTAAATATCTTATGTGGCCGAGAGATCCTCTTCCTCCGACCTTCGGAAGCACCTTGGAGTGAATTTCGAATTTCATTTCTGGACACTACTGCTAGGCATGGAGACGAAACGAGGAAAAGCAAAACCTCGATAGGGCTCTCCAGCCTCAACGACTTTCCCCCCATTAAGAAAGCTTTTTTTTTCTACATTTGCATTTTTTATTTAGCGCACGAGCGTTTCTTTAGCAAGGGATGTGTTCAGCGTCTAACGGGAAAAGTTAAATGATCTTTGAAAGCCAGTTGCTGCAGCGTTACAACATGAACTTAATAATTATTTATTTAGTCCATCTTGTATCGAAACAGCAAACGCTTTGACCCAAGAAAGTCGTGCGACGGTAATAATAGATACATCAAAAAGCGAAACTTTAGTTTTCTGAGAGTTCCAAATAAATATAAATCGTAGTCAATGTGTGTTGTCATCAATTCCATTATAATTAAACTAAAGACAAAACAATCGTGAAAGTAACTAAGATATTATGGCGAAATAACTATAAATGTAACGCGTTACTTTCAATTTTAAGTAACTGTAACTGTAACTTCAATACATTTTGGACAAACTATCGGTAACTGTAACTAATTAAATTTTAAAAGTAACTTACCCAAGCCTGCAGTAGGGTCAGCATGGTCAGTATAATGATAGTTGTGCGCGTGCGGCGCGTGCGCACGCGCCGGACGCGCACAACCGCACGCCGCAAGTCCGTGTTGCAGCGACTTTCTGCTGCCCCGTCGACCGCAGCGCCGCAATTGTTGCCTGCACGCGCAGCCTCACAAGCTCCCATTGCCGAGCCGCGCCGATTTAAACATTACCCGGTGTTCTAGTACATTGTGCTTATGGTCCCTGTCTAAATAAAAACCTCTCGAGCCTAAATACCCTGTAAGTGTCCTCTTAATAAACAAAAAGTAAACCGGAATGGAGATGTTTATTCCGGTTTACAAACGTAGTATTACAAATCTGTAATGTAGTCCACTCGAGGCATCGGGTGCTTCAGGCACGGAGGAACAAGGGTTTATTTGTACATGTACGTTGTGTACGTGCTCTATAGGTCGAGTAGCCGTAACCGAATGGGGGCACGCGGAAGGAGGCCTGCTCGCGCAGCGGCCGGCGCTCGTGTGGACCGTCGCACTGTCTCGCGGCCGGCATGCCACCACAGACCAGTGCACGACACATCTCCCCCCTAAATGTAGTCTCGAAGATACCCCGGACGACGATGTTCGCGTTGAGGACGTCCTGATGGAGCAGCGCCAGGATTAGGAAGATAGGAGGTCGATGTGGATTGACCTGCCTGGTCTTGCTCGGTTCCTTGGTCAGCAGTCGGAGCAGCTGCTAGACGGACGTCCGGGTCTGCATTCGGACTTGACGTTGCGGAGCTTGTATCAGGAATCTGGACTTCGCAACTCTGGCTTGGACTGTCACTTGGCATGCTGCAATGCCGCGTACGGATATGATCTATGTGTCGCCGCCACACACGACCGTCTTCAAGTTGCACTTGATACGAAAGCGGGCCCAAACGGCAAGAGATCACACCTGGCAACCAGCGGTTCCCGCTCGTGCCAAAATTAATTGCAAAAACTTGACTTCCGGGTTCCAATTGGCGAGCGGCTTGCCGATTGCTCGCCTCAAAGGCTTCTTCCTGGCGCTGGGTTACTGCCGCCTGCTGATCTGGATGTAGGTGATCTAGGGCCGACCGAATCTGACGTCCAAAAAGAAGCTCTGCGGGGCTCCTTCCAGTGGAAGTACTGGGAAGGATATGTTGGTCGAAAAGAAACCTGGCAAGACGGGTTGACCAGTCGCCGCGAATGATTTTCTTCAGTGATTTCTTGGTCTCTTGAACCATCCTTTCGGCTTGCCCGTTCGAGGAGGGATGGTAGGGTGCCGCAAGGACTTGGCGGATGCCATTTCTTCGAAGAAACTCTTTAAAATCCACTGAAGTGAAAGCAGTACCGTTGTCGGACACCAAAACATCAGGCAATCCATGCGTTGCGAA